TATAAAAAGTATAGTTCTGGTGGCTTCCAAATAAGTACCTACCCATAATCCTTGCTACTGGCCATATTTGCTGGGGCAGATCTGAAGTCCAAAACATCTCGACAGAATCAGGTTACCTGCTGTTACAACTTATGAATCACTGCTCCACAGAAGCTTCTAATTATCAAATGGGATAACATTTCCAGCTAATATTACAAAAGTCAAGAGTTTTTCCTATGGGATCATTCATCAAAAGGACACCCCTAATGATTCATGTGGAATGAAATATCACTCCAGAGAGTCTCCTCTGTTCCAATGAATGGGTGATGCATTGTGCTTTTAGTACTGCTAGTGATCCATTTTCTTTAATGGTCCACCAAATAATTCTACTCTTGGAACTAAATTCTTCCTTGTAGGAAGGTTGTGGTGAGGAAGCAAAAAATAACATTAATGCAAAATGTGCTCAATGACCATATTAATACTCATGACTCAGTCTGGAGCTAATATGACATGGCTGGCAACATTTCAAATAAGATAAGCTGTAATGAAAATCACTAAAGCATGCATTCAAATAATTTAAGAAGTGCAAATGCAGAGGTAGCAATGTAAATTTGCCTCATTACAATCATATGCACAACAATGGTTCTTTTAAAAATGTAATAAAAAGGCAGATGTGAGACTGTCCTAAAGCTTTGCAACTGAAAGTGATATAGCCAAGCAGTTAGCCATTATATATAAATATCTTTATAAGTTACTTATGCTGTCACAGTACTATAATCAACACAACTGTCCCTGGAATAAACCCATTAAACAACAGTCAAAGATGCTCTTCAAATTTACATGGATATGACTTGTATGTCATTTGGGTCTGGCCAACTCTAATAGCTGTCAGAATACAATCAACAACATAGAAGCATAATTTTAAAAAATTACAAACTCATTAAAACTATAGCACCATCTCTTACATTCAGGAAACATTCCAAGCACACAATTTATTTGGCCCCCAAAGACTTTGAAATGGTGAGGTCTTAACAAGTTTCTTGAATATTGGTAAACATGTTTAGCACACATTAGGAGTGCTATAGCTAACACGCAGCTTCTGTATGAGAGAACAACTTTCAAAATTCCACTTTTTATTTGCTCTTTTAGCACTGAGCTTGCTGCTGGCTCTGGCCTTTTCTCGAAACCATCTTTTATCCTTACAACAAATACTTTTTTCTCAGGATGCTACTTATCGTTCCTTTCACTAGCCACCTTATCTCTGAGCTTCTTACTCCAGCTTTCCTATCCTTTGCGATCTCTTAGCAGTCTTCAGCCTTTTTCTAATGCTACGCTTGTCCTGTCCATAGAAGCCGTATTAGTCTTCAGTTTAAATAAACTGGTAACTACTCTTTTCTCACTGAAGACTCTCAGTCAGAACACATGTAAATATTTCATGCCATTACTCTATTTCAGCTAATCTTGCCAAAGCCTTTACTATCACCAGTGCAACACAACATAGACATCTGAGAACAGTTCAGTAAGTTTTTTTTGAAAAAGCTAAAAAAAAAAAAAAATAATCCAGCATATTTTCTCCTTTGGATTCTGGTTTTCACAAGGTTTTTTGCTTTTGTTGTGACTGTGGTAGATGTAGCTGCAACTCCTCAATACATGTAGGTCTATCAACTGTAAATTATGAAGTTTGATGTCCAAAGCTTATCACTGCCTTTGAAACACAATATAGTTACCTGACTTTATACCTGACCATCAATTACTATTGAAATGTAGAGAATATTCTGACAAACTTCAGTCTCCAGAAGGAGGGAAAAAACCCAATCTCATTTTCTTTTATGTGAATATTTATTCCCAAATATATAAAAATACATTAAAGATGTATATTTTTGAAAACAATAATTTACAGTGGTTGCAAGCCAATAACCTATCAATGGAGACAACAACCTAGTAATGGAAGTTTGGCAATTTTGAAAAGAAGAACCAAACAAAATACACCAGTCAAGTATATGACAATTAGATGGTTAGCTAAATATTGGGGGAAAGGCAGTTTATCTCTCTACCCCTGATATTATCTGAAAAGTTCTGGATACATAAAACCTAGGAAAAGAAATAGACAGTATGGTTCAAGCTATAAGGAAAATGATACTGCCCTACTTGCTTCTTCCATTAACTGTTCCTGGCAGCCTTCCCTACAGAGCCTCAGTTCATTTTGGACCACTGAGACGTAACAACTACAGAAATGTCAGGGTCACTAAATAGCTTGTGTCAGGTATTTCAGATAGAAGTTCTGTGCTGAAAATCTAACTACTTTTAATGATTTATTCTAATCATTGCAGGAGCACCTGACATTGATAAAAGTCACATTTCCTCTCTTTATCTGAATCCCAATTATAAAATTATACAAGCTGCCTAATGCTAGATGTACTACCTAACAAATGTATAATTTCTAGCACAGAGGATTTAATAAATCTTTAGCAAGTATGCTTATCTAATTCCCTAGTCATTTGCACAATCCCCTAGCACCATTCTTATTACTACCATTAGAGATTCTGAACTTTAATAAGCAGAAATATTGATCAATAACAGCAGTCCCTGTGACTGGTAGGCCTTATTAAGCCTTCAGAGTAGCCAGGCCTGGTACAAAGATTAGCAGGTGGTTCTCACTTGAGGAAGAAAGAAGAATCAAGCCCCAGATCCAGCAATGGACCTCAGCAATGAGTAACACACATTCTAGGTTAGGATTCTATGTTTCCATCTACATATCCGGCTCTGATATCTACTGATACCTATAACGAGAGCACTTAGAGATAAAAGCTCAGATGGACATTGCTCAGCAGCAAAGTACAGACTTGTAATCCCTGCCATCTAAGGTTAGCCTAGAG